TGTTGGCGTCAACCGAAGCCCCGCAACACACTTCCTCGGCCGCCCCGCAGCGCTCGGCAATCCCGCCCGCTGTTGAAACACTCCCCCGAGAAAAGGAAGAAAAAACAGAAACCGGTCGGCAACTATCTACAAATACTCTCTCGCCCCTACTCCTCAGTCCGACGCCTACCAATTCGTGGCTCAACCAAAGTCGCCGCCCCCCCTGGCAGGCGGCCGCCACGCTAACCCGACCGCCCGTTCCCTTTCTACCCCTTTTTCGCACGCACCCTGCCTTGCCCGGCGTCCAGGTTCACCCCCGGTTTTCCATACTTCGCCCCTGTTGCCCTGTACGTACCCGGCACGACCCGCGCCCGGGTTCGTTCTGGGCCCTTGCCCCCCGTCCTCGCCGGGACCATGCAGACCTCCTCCTCCCCTTTTCTTTTTTGTATCGTTCCAATCTTAACGGATGTCCCGACAGACTTCGGCCCCTGTCTCCTGCCCTTTATGCGCCCGCCTACCCCCGTATCACGTCCGGGTTCATCCCCGGATTCACGACCATCGACCCCACGCAACGGCCCTGGGGGTCCCTCCTGTATCATTCCAACTTTTACAGGCATCGCGCAGGATTTTCGCCGCGTCAGCACCCCCGCGGCCCCTACGTTCCGCGTGCACCCGGCCCATCTTCGATCCCGGGTTCCTTCCCCGACCCTCTTCCTATATCACTCCTACTTAAGGGCCAGGCAAATCCTCCCGGCGTAGCGAAAAAAAATCTCCCCCTTAGCGATTCCTTCGTATTCCACTACTCCTACACGAACCCGGCCTCCTTTTGGGGCCTAGTTCGGGGGCCCACCGGCCTCCGCCCCAGCGTCCACTCGGGTTCGCCCTCTCACTTGTTTGCCCCTTTCCGGTCCGGGTTCACGTAGATCTCCTCCGCCTTACTCAGATTCCCTCCCAAGGAGATCTGCCACGGTCACACCCCACTCGCCCCACTCTTTCCGCGTGAACCTGGCCCCTCCTTCGGGCTTTATGCATGAGAACCTTTGCACAGGGGCCAGGCGAATCTCCTCGGTATTGTTTCCCCCGATCTCCCTTGTAGCCGCGTCAGCAAGTTGGCCAGCCCCACCCGACTTAACCCCTGCGGGTCCCCTTTTGCCCGTACCCGGCCCGTTTCTCGGCTGGGTTCATTCCCGTTTCTCTGATAGACAACCCCTACTCCCCTACCACGCGGATCTTCTCCATATCTCCTTCATGCTCCGTGGATTCCCATAAAAATCCCGACCGGGGTAACGCCCCGTATTGGCTTAAAGGCCCTATGGTCCCTCCTTCACGCGTACCCGACCCATTTCACGGCTGGATTCATCCCTCGTTTGTGGGCGTTGCCTTTGCGAGGAGACCATGCTCGTCTTCTCTGTATCGTTCTCCATTTCCACAAATGTCCCGAAGGACCCTTGCTAGTGGCGGGCACCTCGCGGTGCAGCCAACGCCTGATCGGGTCCAAAGCAAACCTGCTGGGCTCGATCTCAGGCCTGCCTTCCCACAGTTCATGGTTGTACCGCTGGGCTAGGCCCATAGGTCCTAGAGGTAACCATGGCCCCGCATCCCACCCGCGACCTTCACGCCCCCATACGAGCGCAAAAAGAAGGTAGTGACAGAACTTTGATACAGATAAATCATACACAGATTGATATATGAGACCCCGCAAAAAAAAAAAAAAAAGTGCGGCAATCGGGCGGAAACCACGGCCCTCATAACTGTAAAAGACAAAGAGGATAGCCCCATAGTCCCATCAACCCCTCAAGCCCCGCCGCCGCGCTCCTCCGGTCCTTTCTGCATGCCGGTGGCCTCGATCCCTGTGTTCGCTGCACACCCGTCCGCCGCTGTAACCAATAGGGCTAAGCCCAAGCCTGTAACCAGCAGGCGGGGTTTCCCATATAAAGCGGTGCCGCGCGGCGTTCCGAGCCAAAATACCGCTCCGGCCGTCCTTTCACCCGGCATTCATACCCACGGCCCCTAAATGTCTGCGCTGGCCTACCAGCCTGTGCCCCGACCATCCCGTACGCCTCTCGGTGCGCCAATCCTGCCACCAGTTGCGCGCGCCGCCCAAAAACAAGAAAAGAAACAGACTTTTACCCCTAACCAGACCCGTAACATGGTCCGGGCCGGTCGACTGGACCGGCCGCCTACTTCACCCAAAAAAATCACACGCGCGCCTCAATATTGCGCGCCCACATACTCCCTACCGGGGCAAGGCAGACCTTTGCCCGCGCGCAGACAACCCTCACATTTCCCGCAYGGGCACTCAAGATCCAGGTTAACCGAGCCTTTCTGTCACTTGCAAAAACCAGAGCGGATACCCTTGTAAGGGTATTCGCGCCGACAGCTTACCGGACCATATTAAGCGACGTCCCCGTCGCGTCGCCAAATCAAAAAGCTATAAATTTCTCCACATTCCAAATGCTGACGAGATTAGAACCAAACCGATTAGCCGGCAGACTCAGGGTTGAGGCCTCCATCAAACCGTGCCAACACAACTATATGCTGCCAGGGTTTCAACGTGGGTCTCCATTGTCCTGACACCAGGACGCCGGTGTATTACGCATCAATACTACAACATAAGTTTCAAAGGCTCTCAATCCATCCGCTTCCCCTTCTGTCCTAGACAACTGCCGACCTCTCGTTGGGTATCCCAGTTAGTCTCTTTCTCGTAAGTAGAGCCACAACTAGGGACGCGGGCTTCGAATGGGACCTATGAAGGCATTCTTTGCCTTCTTCCAACAAATTCCTCGCAATCAAACAAAATACCCACGTATAAGCTTGTAGCCTCCCTCGGCCTTTTCTGCAGTCTAGTACAGAAATGCCAGGTCCCCATCTGGGCTCACCGTAGCCTGGCTGATCGGGCCAGGTCTACGACCCACCGCGTTGTTACCTTAGCGGCGGTATCCTCCCGTTGGTTATACAACGACAGGTATGTCCCTGATAATCAATCAATCAGGGTCTCCAAAGGACTCGACTCTTATCCCCCGAAGTAATTTCTCTGGGGCGGGCAACTCCCCTTAAACTCTTACCGCGCGGGCCCGCAGCCAGGTTGTGCCGGCTAGCAGCCATCCACTAGGGGTTGCGCCCAAGTGCACTAAGCTTTACCGTTAGCTTGGTATTCCTTTAAATATGCCTCAGAATTAGCACTGATGGCCAGGCGGGGCAGCACAACCAACTCACGGGCCGCTGCGGGACTACGCAGGGGTCTGAAGGCATTTACCGGCCCTCCTACAATAGGCACAGCATCCTTCGCTCAATCACAGACAGTCCCCTCCAGATTCACAAGGCCGCGGCTCCTGACTTGATCAGAGCCAGCAGTCGCCCATCCTGAGGCATCTCTCGCCCTTTTCAAATGCTTCAAGCAAACATGGTTCCCTCTCGTCAGGCTTTATCAACACAAACAATGTTTTTCATACCAGTCAATTTTTACCCACCCTTACTTTAGTAAAGGGTGCCTCTCAAAAAAAAATTCCCGTCCATCCCCTTTTTGTATGGGATGACTCTTCGCACGACCTCTTCCAAAACCATGAAGGGGCCTCCATACAATGCAATTCCCACCTTCCAGAACCATGAAGGGGGTCTTAATCATCAAACAAACTCAAACTGAGGGAACACCTTCTGGGTCCCTGTACAACTTAGGCAACGGCGTTTCGTATGATCAAAGATGCAAATTTCTGAATCCATCAATCCCGTAGGATTCTCACAGTTTTTCACAAACAGGCTGCACTTCCCCTCCTTATACTCTGCCCTCTCGTCCGCTTGCAGCAGACCGCACGAGTATACCGGAGGGTAGACAACTTTACAATTTACACAATCATGCCCATGAGATGTATCCTGTACATCTCTCACACAAAGTCAATCATACATCAGGATAAAATCACACATGTGAGAGTGATAGTGGGCGTCACAAGACAAGTCCCATAGAATCTCAACTCATGATACACTCAGGGAGTAGAATGCCTCCCTCAAGACTCAAACACAAACACTCAACTAAAACTTTATCCGTCCGAGCATGGCTCCCGACCCCACTGTATACCCGCGGAACACGCTCACGGACACAACATCTACTCAAAATCTAACGTGTGTCTAACCCTTTGTCTCACCTAACTCGGGAAAACTCATACTCAAGCCTCTCTCAAACTCAAGTAGTCTCTGCACTGCGACATCAAAAGTGGACTGAATAGCCTCATGTGTCCTACGACCAACCCTCATGCCCTAAGCCGTAACCTACGAAAGAAAAACTCGAAGAAACCTCAATCAGCTATATGTGTACAAGCAGGCAGGGACTCATCCTACCACCTCTAACGTATGCACACTTCTAGGGCCCCCTCAACCAACCAAACATATGTACATCGCCAACCCGCCCCCCTGTGTGCCAATCACCCTGTCCCTACTGACACATAGACAGACCAGGCCCTACTTACACAATTCCTCCTGGTTCTGCCTATACAACTGAGCCCTGCCCCCATCTGGGGCTCGCTCTACTATCCTGCCCTGCCTGTCATAGCACTTGCCGTTGAACTCCGCAGCTCGCCCCTCGTCCTTATCCTCGAGGAGGTCTGGGCAGTCCATGGCTCTATGCCCTTCCTCCTTGCACCAAAAACATGAGGTATCGTGCCACCTGGCAGTCTTCTTCTTTCTCCCCTACGAACTCGATGCCGAAGGCGTCCCCATGGTCTCTGTAGTCACCTCATGACACGAGGACGATCCCATATGGCCCTGAGGTCCGGGCTCCGTAGCCTCAACACCCTCACCCCCTCGTGCGGCTGTGCTCACTGGCCTGCAGTCTGGCATATCCAACTCTCGGGGGCCCTCCTCATGAGGCCCCTCTGTCACCACCACCTCATCCCCACATGCTCCTGACGGCTGAGAGCCCCCCATGGCGGTGCGCTCACTTATGACCTCCTACTGCTGCTGTTGCCGCGAGTCAGGCCCTCCTGAGTCCGTCCCCGTGGCCCAGGAGCCCAGCTCCGCCCTCAACTCTCCCAACTCCGGGGCATGCTCTGGAGCGTCGAGTCTCTAAGGCCCCTCCTGTGGCGTGCCTATCCCCATGGGTGCCACCAGCTCATGCAAACGCGAACCCCTCCTCTCCGTGGACATAGCCATAAGCGACTCCTGTGCGCCACCCTCCTCCTCAACTGCATCCAAGGGCACCTCCTCCATTGGCTCGACCTGTCGAGGGACCTCTACTGCTAATCCTTGACTTGGCGAAGCCTGCATCCCTCGTCCCTGGCCATCGGCACCGGCTCGCTCTACTTGGCTAGCCTCCCAGTCCGCCGAGAGCCTATCCACAGTGTCCGCCATCTCCCCAAATCTCCTCTCCCACTCAACCTCTCTAGCCTGGCTCCTCGCCTTCTTCTCGGCAAGCTGAGTAGTCAGGTGCTCCACCTCCAACTCCTTGACCCTGAGCTCATTGCTGAGTAGATTATACCACTGGAAGGACGTAACTGCCATCTCACATACCCTTCAATCCATGTGCTCAATCGCCTTCCTGGTCGCGGAGAACCTCAAGTCCCCCATCTCCCTCAGCTCACCCGTCTCCTCGTCCGCCTGTCCTGCCTCTCGTGACCTCTGGCGGGCTGCATCCCTTTGGCTCTCATACCTAGCCCACAACTCGTCGATCCTTTGCTCGCTAGCCTTGGGCTCGACCAGCGGTGTCGTCTCTATTCCTGCTGCCTCCATCTCAGCCTGCCTCGCATGTATTTCATCCAGACGGACCCGCACTCGGGCGGACTTCTCTTCACGGGTCTCTCTTTGGGCTCTCCTCACTTGCGGCCCCTGGCCTTTCGGAGTCGACGCCTCCGCCCCCATCTCCTCGCTCGCGCATGGCACTACTGGCGGTAGCTCCGCTGGAACAGGCTCCTCAATAACTATGCTCTTGGTCACGTGCGTGGCCGATGGCAAGTCAAGGGGCGCCTCCGTCCTCGCTCTCTCACACGCTCCCTGACCCTCCACCTCTACCTCCTGCTCAGGCGTAGTAGTGGCCTCAGGGGGAGACTCCGGAATCTCCTCACTGCCTGGCTCGGGAATCCCCTCTGGCCATGAGTACTGTGCTGGCTCAGGAACTGGGGAGCGTGGCGGGGTATCGTCCCTGACCGTGATCACCTCCCCGCCCTGAGGCCATACCGGATCCGGCTGTTCGGCTGCCATCTCAAGATCCTGCGGCTCCTTTTGGTCTCGCATGTCCATCTCCGTCTCGGGGTCCAAAGGCTCCTCCAATGGCACATAGCACGTCGCCTCAACCGAGCCCTCCCCCAATCGTGAGGCCTCCCATCGAGATGCATCAAGATGAGTCACTAAGCTCCGGAATGGCGTCTCTCTTGGTATATCCAGTTCCTGTGCTGATGGTAACGGTGAGGGCGGTCTCAACTCCTCGCTCGTAATCCGTCGAAACTCAACCGCCCGGAGGCCACAAGCAGGGAACGACTCCTCGACCAATGCGGGTCATGTGGGCTCACCCTCCCGCTGTGCTGGGGCCCTCCCCCTCTCTCTGGCCAGTCCCACCTCTCTCGGTGCCGGTTCCTTTGGCCTCTTGCTTCGCCGTCGCCTCTCGACCCTGGGCTCGTGCCCCTCGCGCTCTGGCCGTCCAAACGTCCTCCTGAGCTGGGCTTGTCAGTCCTCCCAGTCTCGGGCCCTCTCCCGAATCTGTTTGGCCACTGGCCTCTCTGCCCCCCTCGTCCAGATAAGTAGGGCCTACACCCACTCCTCCCGCGCAATCCCTTGACTCAACATGTAATGCTCATATGCGGGAATGAACTCCTCCGCGTTCCCCTCCTCCAATCGAATGGGCATGCCATCACGCCCTGTAGGGGAAGCTCTCAACCTCTGCATCCCGGCTTCCACGTCCTGCCAAGTCAGGGCCTCCTCACATATCTGTGCGACAGGCTCCTCAAACCGCCCTATACCCCTCAAGTGGTGAATCCTCTCTACCACTGACCACCCTCTCTGTGCCGCATGATCCCGATATACGTCCAGGAAGATCTCGATGTTGTCGTCATCGAACTCAGGCATAGGCTCCCTCTTAGGTGGCTCGTGCTGCTCGCCCCCTCCTGCTGCCCTCCGAGGCCCCTGCCGTGGCCGTGTGTCCCTCCAGCCCCTCTGCATGACTGCCTTCGAAAAGTCAGACTTATTCCCTGGCCACGAACTTATTCAGCCTTGTCCCTGATACCCAGTCCTGCCACCCGGCCCCATCCAGCTCTTCAATTTGGTAGGCCCCAAATTTGCCACACCACACGATCCTATAGGGTCCCAGCCACGGCTTATCTAGCTTCCTGGACCATTGTTTTTCGAACGAGGAGTCATACAGCAGTACCACGTCTCCAACCTTCAGCGGGTTCTTCCTTATTCGGGCCATATGGTCCCATCTCATCTTGTCTTCAATACGACTTCTCTCTACCTGACCAGCGGCCTCTCGTAACCTTTCTTCAGTGGCCCCCACCTGCCACGCCGTATATCGAGCAGTTCTTCAAAGGACAGGTTTACTTCCAGGTCTTGTCACCTCCACGTCTTCATGAAGCTCTCTATGGGAAAGGTAGCATGCCTCCCGTACCATAGAGTGGCCGGCACATACTTCATAGTCCTTTTTACTGTAACATTCTCCACGAAGAAAGCTGCTCTCAGGAACTTCGGCCACTGGTTAGGCTTCCACTCGGTCCATTTGGCCAGGAGATTCGTGATGGTACTATGTCCCCTCTCCACAGGTGCGTTTGCCTGGGGGTGCGCGACAGTAGTATAGTTCGCTACCACGCCGTACCCTGCAAGCAAGGTCCGCACCTCGTTACAAGTGAACTATGACCCCCGGTCCATCACAAACTCTCTGACAAATGGATAGCGCAGGTAATACTCTTCGATGCACCTTGCTAAAACTGGGCCAGTTTTCGTACGAATAGCCCGACCGTCCACGAACCCGGTAAGGTTGTCCCGTGCGTCGAAGATATAGTTACTTCCGTCCTCCCCGAGTGGCATGAATAACAGGTCCAGGTGTACGACTGCACCCACCTCCCTTTCCAGCTTGGGGTGCAGAGGCTCCCCCGGCCTTTGCGCTGACCTCTGTTGGCAAGGTACACAGGACTGGCAGTACTTGACGACCATAGTCAGCATTCCATCCCAATGGTATAGTTCACTTATCTTTCCGCACGTGGCACTAACCCCTTTGTGCCCCCCTGCTATACCATCGTGCAAGGATGCTATGACATCGATCTGCCGGTTCCTCCCACATACGATCCTCTTGGGGTTCTCAACCTGTCGCTTTATAAACAGATGGTCATCTCTTACTACATAGAGATGCCTCATCTTCTGGGCTTTAGCACTTACGTCCCTATCCCTTATCTCGCATGACAGGAGTAACCCCATCTCCCGATAAATCCCATCATACTCCTCGACACGGAAGGCCTCCCTAATCTCTCCCTCTTCGAACTCGTCGTCCTGGCTTTCAGGAATAAGAAGTTCGCTTTCCTCGGAACCGGCTGCGCTCCTCTGGTTAAAGTTCCCCTGCAGGAGCGTGTTAGTGAGCAAGTACATTCCTCCTATTAACTGCTCATGTTCCTCTACCTGGGTTGGCCCTTCCTCTATCGTCCTCACCTCTTCTGCCAGACTATGTGCGCCTGCCAATGCCAACTTCATCATCCAGCCAACATCCTTATTCCCCCACGGATCTTCCTCCTGGAAAGGCTTGAGAACCAGCTCTTCCTTTCGCTCGTACCCCCTTGGTGCTAGCCATATGGGATGCGTGACGCAGCTAGGCACCCTCAGCGACCATTCATTTATGTGGAGGCGGACATCCTCCTCCTGGTCCAAGGACCCGTCGACTGGTGGGGTATCCTCAATTGACTCCCGATTCGCCCCGTCCCAGTTGATACGGCTCAACCCATCCGCCCTGTTCTTGTCCCCTGGAATCCTCTCCAATTCAAAGTTAAACATCCAAATGTAGGTCAACTACCTCGCGATGGTTGGGTCAGATGAAGTATAACTTTTCAGGGAACACGCCAGCGCAGTAGGGTCCACCCTCAAAATGAGCCTCCTGCCAAAGATATAGTTACGGAAGGTCCTCAGGCAGTGGAGTACCGCCAGCGTCTCCTTCTTAAACTGGGAGTAGTTCCTCTCAGTCGTATTGAGGGTACGACTTTCAAACCTTAACGGCCTCTCCTTCCCATCCACATCTGCCTGAATCAGGACTCCTCCTAAGGCAGTTGGTCAGGCGTCCGTCTCGACAACGAATGGCTTTTCCTCCGTGGCCTCATAATTTGGCGCTCCCAGCACCAAGCCTCTTTTCCTGAACTCCCCCTTCATCCTTTCCACAGCCTTTTCCTGGTCTTCGCCCCAGACCCATTCCTGATCCTGACGCACCATCTTCCTCAAATGCTCCGTCTTGGTGGCGAAGTCTTTCACAAAACTCCTCCAAAACCCACAGGTCCCAAGAAAGTTTCTCACGTCCGTTATCGATTGGAAGGGGACTGACTATTCTAGGATCTTGTTCGTCTTCTTCACATCTGGTCTCCGCCCCTTCTCGTTACAGACAAAACCCAGAATCATGACCTCCCTCATACAATGCTTCGACTTGGGGCCGCTCGCCATCATGTTGTGTTCTTCCAGCAGACCCAGAACCTGATCGATATTTTGGACGTGCTTCCAGACGAACCGCCTCACCCCTGACATCACTTCATCTTCCTCCTTCTCCTTTGGGCCCTTGACCGCCAGATCGTCAATATAGGGCTGGGTAATATGTGAACTAACCGTCTGCATGGCCCTAATCATGTGCCTTTGCACCATTCCCACCGCATTAGTCCACCTCTGAGGGGCCACGTTCATGTGGATCAGCCCCCTTGGCGTATGCATCGCCGTCACCAGCCTATCCGATGGGTACACAGGAAACTGGTCATACCCAGAATAAAGGTCTATAAGTGAGATTATAGGCCTTCTTGCACATGACTCTGACAGGGCGTCCGCGTTCGGCAATCCTCCCACGTCCCGCACCGTCACGGCATTCTATTATTGCAAATCCTGCACCCACCATAGCGTTCCGTTCGGCTTGATAAAACAAAACCAGGGGGAAGCATACGGTCCACTAGAGTAATCCGCCACATGCGTCCTCATCTTCCCATCCAAGTTATCCACCACCTTCTTCTCCTCATCCGGATTCGGGTACCGCGCGCCCCTCAGGTCCCACAGCTCGTGTGAGACGGTATGGATTCGTATCATTGGGATCTTATCCACGTCCAACCTCCCACGCTCGTCGTCATTAAACGCATACGCGCAGTGCCTCCTCTTCATGGTCTCCACCATCAAGGTCCTCTCCTAGGGCGAAAGGAAGCCAGGCTCGCCAATTATCAGCCCCTCCTCATTCTTGTAATTGATGCGGCACGGCCCTACCTGCGCACACACCCTCATACGTCTTATCAGCGCTCGCTCTCGCTCATAATAGGCTTCTTCATCCTCCGTGACAAGCACGGGGACTGGGCGACACTTCTTATCTATAGTCTTGTACCGCCTTTGGGAGCCATGCTTAAGCCGTCCCCTAAAAAAGGCCGAATTGTCGTCCGCGTCTGGGCCATTGCAGGGTCCCCTTTCCTCCCAGGAAGCCGATAGATCAGCTCCACTTCTCCCACCTGAGGGTTTTCCAGGACCTGCTCCCTCAATGCCTTTATAGCTTCAGGGTCCGCCATATCATGCGCCGCCACCACCTGCATTGCCTTGTTCACATCGTTAAGGTTCAGGGACAACACCTCGCTTGCTCCTTCCTCCTCCTGCTCCTCCCGGAGTCTCCGTCGCGCGTACTCAGACTCCTCGAAGGTAAAGGAGCCGAGGTTGAGCCTGTTCCTCACACTTCCGGGCCCTGTGTTTCGGCACTTAATAATTTCGTAATTCCCACAGGCCGGAACGGATAGAGCCAGGATCATTGTCCCCTCATGCCTGTTGAAGACCAAGGTCTCCGTTTGGCAGAGGAACAACATCCCAGAAGGATAGGGTGGTCGACATCGGGTATGACGAAGAAACACGTTCGCGCCCTTACTCTACCAATCTCCACCATCACATTGGACGCGGTGCCGCAGAAAATCGCCTTACAGTTGGCCCCGTGCAGCACACCATGATCCGAGTGGTCCATCTCCAGCCCTAGCATAGTCGCGTCCCACTCCCGGATGATATTCATCTCCGCGCACGTGTCCATCATTGCGATGCTCGGCTGGTCCCTCACCTTCAAGTCCACCAGCCCACACGCCACACATTTCCAATCCATCATGGTGCCCGCCTATGTCCACTCTATCTCCTTGGGCAGAATTGAGCTCAGGTGGACATTGGGCACTAACCTTCGCGAGAGCCGCCCCTTCAGCTCGCCACGGAGCCTTGGTGCCGAGGCCAAAATGTCCTTTAAATTCATCTGATCGTTATGGCCTTCCAGGAACTTATCTACCATCCGCTCCACGTGAAAACCTTCCTCCAGCCGGACTGCGTACTTCTTCCTTTTTGGCACGCCGTCGTGCAGGCTCGGCTCCACCCCTCCCTTAGCCCCTCTCTTCTTGGCCCTCTGTTCCGCTCTCCGGTCCTCCTCCTGCCGGAGCCTCTCGTCCTCTTCGTCATCACCCTCATCCTCCTCTTCTTGAACCTCTACCACTTCTTTCCTTCATTCAGGTTCACGGTCCTTTCGAGGAGGCGCCCGACCAGGTGCCTGGCTGGGCCCCTGACTGGTGGTAGCCTTACTTTGGCCCCTAGTCTGCGCGGCGTGTGGTACCCTTCCATGCGACGTAGGGGGCCTGAAGGTCATCCCAGACTTGGGACCTGCCCCAGCTGTAGCCACACTTAGACACCCTTGTGGCCCTGAGGATGACTCCGGGCCGGACCCATAGAGCATTACCTCAAAAAGGTTCATTTCCCACTCCCGGGCCACTTCGCACATCACCCTCAGCCATTCCTGGTACCTGCCCACCTTCGCAAGCAGGTCCTCCATCCTTTCCAGGATGGTCAAGGTCGACTCTCTTACCACCTCCTGCGCCTCGTAGTCCGACTCAACAACTATGGGCTCCTCCTTTATAGTCCCCGCCTTCAGCCGCTGAGTCACTTCCTCATTTTCATCCACAATCTCCTCGACTCTCACACCCGGGACTTGCCTTTCCTGCCATATCCTGAACATTGTTGGGGCCGCTGGAGGCCCTGTCGCTGCTCGCCTGAGGGCTTCTTGCCTGATTCCTCCCGGGGTCTTAGAATCAATATGCTTTCCCCACCAATCGTATATGTCCCCATCCATACAGGTAGAGATTAGTCCTGCCAGCTCATCGTCCCGCCACTGTTGGCAGAATCATACGGTGTGGCCCACCTCGCCGCAATGCCAACAAGTTGCGTTCCGCCAGTCGAAGCGAGGTCTCTCGTACCCTAGGCCCCCTCCCTGGCTGCCTTGGTTCTGACCCCCTTGACCATTCCAGGCTCCTCCACGGCCTCCACCATTTCCCCCTCGCCCCCGGCCGCCCCCTCCTCTACCCCCTTGGCCCCGGCCCCCATTGCCCTGCCCGCCTTGTCCTTGGCCCCCTCCCCCGGCCACACTAGCTTGCGAGGCCTGTTGGGAGGGTGGCGGTTGAGCCATGGGCTGGCTTTGAGTCGCCGGGTAGCTCGGGGGGCCCATACTTGCTGATGGGCCCGAACAGGGGACCATGTGTCCCGTGTGGGCCTGACTCCCTCCACACGAGACACAGTGGTTGCAACTGGGCCAGGGCGTGGATTGGCAATGCGGCACCCAGTGTCCGCAATTTGGCGGCGGCCCCATGTGCGACGATCCGGTCGGCGCGGGCGCTGGCGCGGCCGCGGCGACAGGTGGTGATGCGGCAAGGGCTTGGGGAGCCTGCCCTTTCCCTGATCCCTGTCCCCCCAGTAGCAGATTACGCTGCTTCCTCTGGGCCTTAGTCAGGGCTTGGGAGCCCGTCTCCCCTCCGCCATAGTCTTCGCGCCCAGCCTCCTTATCTCCTACTCCTGACGCCCGGCCTTGGGCCACTGCCACCACTCTTTTCTGTAGTTCCGCTTTGCTGTCATACCCCAATGCCGCCAACACATCCGTGACAATTCTCTTTACCCCTGGGTTCCCGGATGCGGTGGCATCCCTTTCCTTCCTCTTGCGCCTCTGCAGCCTCATTTGGTGTTGCTCCACCTGGTCCAGGCTCCCTTCTTCCACTCCCTTGTCAATGGTTGCCCAAGTGAGCCTCTCCCTCCCTTCCCCATACTTGGTCAGCTCTGTGGCCTCCGAGCCCGTGAGCAGCCCCAAAAATGTGGCGCACTGCGCCTCCTCAGAGATGCCGTGCACTTTCCTCGCCTTCTTCTTAAATTCTGCACGAATGCCCCAATGGTAGAGAAGTCTTCTTTATTCATGGCCTCCAAGTCAGCCATGGTCAACATGCCATCCCCCAGCCTGTAATTCCTTCGCGTTAGGTCCCCAAACTTTGTCCAACTACCACCGGCGGCATCCACAACCTTAGTTACTTCCCGGTGGTGACTATGCAGGACATACCTCAGGACCCGCTGGAGCTTGACCTCATCTGACAGTCCCACCAGCGCCTGCTCTGACAGATCCAACCAATCGGATACCCGATCCCCTTTGAAGTGAAATGTCTCGACCTTTGGGACGTTGCTCGGCGCCCTCTCACGCTTGTCCAAGGCGTCGATGAGGTCGTCGAGAGTCACAAGCCTCCTCCCACCGTCCGCCATCTCCTCTGGCATTTTGGCCAACCACCTTCGACTTCAATCTTCCTGTTATAAGAGACGATGGGACAAAGGACCCCACTCAGCGACTCAACCCTTCATGACCCTATCGGGCTGACCACTTAGACACCCCATGCTCTAGACCTGGCAGACATTCCTTTTCCTATTTCCCTCAGGCTCACCTAGATAAGGCTTACCCTTATCATAGAACTCCCTCACACACTTGCCTCATTCAGGCTACCGACCAAGCCACCAATCAATCAATCATTCAACCCACAGTCATATAGACCACCACACAGTCCACCTCATAGTCTTACTCTTACTCACTCATATGCCTAGTTTCTCCCTCACTCCCATACCCGGATGTCGTTCCACCAGGGACAACAGTAGGCTTCCGTTATCCCCGGCAACGGCGCCACCTGTCGAGCGCATCGGTCTGGCACCGCATGCGGCGGCACGGGACCCTCTCGGCCGCGTCACACAGGAGTTGAACCAACCTCGACACGAACACGCATATGGAGCTTCCTTAGGCCGCTCCGGCCGAGCGCACCAGCCATGCCTCTCGCGAGCCCCTACGACAGGATAGGGCCTACGCGAGGCACAACTTACCTCCACCTTACGGGAGTTGTCACCTCCTATCGGTGGGCGTATCCCCGTCGAGCTACCAGTCTACAGTACGAAAGCTAATCAGTTGCAATCGCAGAGGTGGACCAGTCGAGGGCGTTTCTCGTTCGCTGTAGCATAGGGGGTACGCGCGGTAATACGCCTATCGGTCCCGCACGCGAGCCGACATCTTGGGGGGCTGAAGTCCCAAGCGCGGCTCGACGTCGGTCGACTAGGACGCATCCCACACGCCATGCCCACACCACTCTACGAACACAGAAATAAAACATACTCACATTCACACACGCACGTACAACGCGACACAACACGAACAACGCGACACGACATGCACAACGCGACCACGCTCCTAGCCCCTTGGTAGCCGTCCCATAACTTCCGTATGTGGAAATTGAGTAGGCGTCGTGCGCGGAACTTAATATAAAACAGCGCCGATGCAGGGTTGACTCATATCGACTTGCAATGCAAGCGTACGCAAGCGATCGCAATGATGGCGTACCATGTAATACCCATACTCACGCGGTCCTCGTTAATCTCGAGGGTCGCGTTCGACACTCAAGTGTCGGCTGACACGCGCCTTGAGGGTTAATCTCTCGACACAAGACAACCGCCATGCGCGGTTGAAGACCACACACCCTCTTCTGCACCCTTATCCAGAGTGGGTGGTACACAGGCCCATGCCTGTGGTGGTAGTCGTCTCTCACGGTCTTGGGGATGAGTCCTCCCCGGGGCCTAAACGAAAGTCAAGGGGTTTGACTTTGATGGTTGCCACAGACTACAATGTCCAACCATAAAAATCTCTAAAGAGCAACGAGACACGCACGAACCCAAAAAGAGGGAATAGGGCAAAAGTCCCCTGGCTTTAAAAAAAACTCATGGCCTTGGAACACACTTCCCCTCTATGGGTGGTGCCGGCGGCCTACAATAATCCCAAGCGCTGCGCCTACGCGCGAGCCCGGCGAGCCCATAACTTTTAGACGCTGGGGCGGCGAGACGTCGCGCACAGGGCTCTGATATAAAACTGTGCGGCCGCAGGCCAATCCTACGCCAACCACTGATGCCAATCATACGTGGTAACCACGGCTCCGGCCTCGCGATATTGAATGGCTGAAGGAACACGTCGCGAGGGGCTACCCCTCACGGTATTGAACGGCTGAAGGACACGCCGTTCGGCCCTCGCGACATTCCCGCCTTTCAGGTGGAGTGTCCCGCCGGCCAAAGTAAATAGGCTCTATGCGAGGGGAGATTCCCCCCCTTCAGGGCCTAGGGTTTGGGGTGTCCTGGACAAGGACCTTGAATCCCGGCCCAGGACCAACGTCCGACTAAAAAAAGCCCCAAGATGCAAGTCGGCAGAAGGGAGGGTCTTCCCTGTTTCTCAATCCCAACTTTCACGCGGAAGATAACATGGCCTCTTAGGCTTCCCGAGCACTCATCGTACATATATCGACGCATACATACAAAAGGGGGATAGAGTTGTGACGATCACTTCTCACAGGCACAGTGGGACTCCTCACAACCATGTATACGTATATGGAGTCGTAGGCAGTCCAAATCCTAAAATTCGAATCACAAGACATACCCGCAATCACACCAAGAATCGAACGACAAAGCACACACTACACGGAGTCAACCCCAATCATTCTCTATGCTCATACCCCTTTCGCTTTAGCCATGCAAGCCCCAACCGCCGGTCCCACCAACCTCAATTAAATACTCAGTATCTTTGTTAAATGACCATTCAATAAAAGTCCGGGTGAAACCCTTAACAAACAGTAAAACCACCAGGGCTAAAGCCTTTTAGGTTGGGTATGGAGGGTGAGTTGGGATTGAGTCGAAGACCGACGAGTCGACAACCGATCTGTTATCAGTGATAACAGAAGACGATCCTCAAGGGATCAAGTTGAATCTAGTCGTGATCTTGAATCGAACGATCAAAACGACCTGTAACATATGACAGACCAATCCCCAAGTTGAGATCATGAGTGTATGAAGAATACAACTCCATAACATATTCTCACTCAAATCCTCCTAGCTAGCTAAGCCTGAATCTACCTTGAGGCGGTGCTCAAAGCAAAGGCAGACCCTGGTTAAATCTCCCCTATTCAGGATGGATTGCCAAAATTGCCACCTGTCAAAATATAACCTAACTCCTCCAAATCCAGAAAATTTCGGCAGCACTTCCCGTAGGGAAAGTGCCTTTCCAGAATTTATATAAGCTCAAACATTACACGCAGGAGTAATCTATGACTCTTTGAACATCAAGTTTTGTCTAACTCTCTAAATTGATAAAAATTTGGGCAGCACCCCTTTTAGAATTGGGGATTTCCCAGATTAAAATTGAGTTCGGCCCCCAACCTTGAGTCCAATTTAGACAAAATTTGACGAACCCCTTAGTTTCGCAACAATTTCGGCAGCACTCCCCCTAGAAAAGTGCTCTCCAAAAATTTATACAAAGCCAAGTTTAGAACCTGAGGCTAATTCTGACATCCCAAAGCCCAATTTTATCCAACTCTCAAAATTAGCAAAAATTTGGGCAACACTCCCTCTAAAAATGGAGACTTTCCAGATTTTTACTAAGTCAGATACAACGAAAAGACAAGATGAACTTTGACAAGTCAAAATTTGTCTTGACGAAAAGACAAGCTGAACTTTGACAATTCAAAATTTGTCTTGACGAAAAGACAAGCTGAAATTTGACAAGTCAAAATTTGTCTAACTCCTCGAATCTGTAGAAATTTCGGGAGCGCTTCCCGTAGAGAAAGTAGCTTACCAGAATTTGTACAGGTCCAAGTGTAGTAGCGAGCCTCAGAGAATGCAAAAATTGATCTAAGTAAAATAAAGTCAGCTCAGAAAATGCAGAAATTGACCTAACTCCTATCGCTCTAGCATGTGGTGAGCCTCTAAAGCAACTACCTATTAATTTAAAACCGAGACCAAGTAGTAACCTCACTCAGCCACATGCAGGTCAAACCATAAAGGTAAGTACGCTCACCATCCCCAAGCCAATCTGAGCAAGCAATAGTTCATGATCTTTCAGTGAGTTATCCCCTCATACCCAACTTACATAAGGTATAGGTCAGAACTTACAGAGCGCACCCAACTTAGCCAGGCCTAAAGTCAGAATACCTAAACTTATAGAGCGTTCTGACTTGGCCAGGTATACACAAACAGAGGGCACAACTACTTCTCTCTTCTTTGGGCGTATGGCTAGACCGCTCTAGCCGCCCTGAACTGTTTAAATAGCCAATTTATATATACCTCACTGAACTTAGTCTTCAAAGGGGGCATAAGGCTGAGCCGCTCAACTTAGAACATTGCTCAGCCTGCCCAAGTTTACCTTCAATTATACCTTTTAGTTATACTCTCTTCAGTTATAATAAGCTATAGTCAGGCTACCTAAACTTATAGAGCGGCCTGACCAGCCTGTTCATAATAGCATAGTAATATAATATAGCCAGAGTTATATCCATTGGGTTCCAACATGTGCGAGTCTCCCCAAACTTATGGGGACATCCTAGCCTCCAGAGCTTCAGGCTACCTAAGCTTATAGAGCGGCCTGAGGCTCCATGCATACCAAAAATAAACAAAGCGTTGGGCTTCCCCAAACTTAAGGGGACTTCCCAGCCTTAATGACCCAGTCAATCTACACACAATGCTGCCTTTCTTTCATCCTTCCCCAGATGCAACCCATTTCATTCGCAATCTGCTTTTAGGCAATCAACAAACTGAAACTGAGATTTGTCCACTCATTCTTTTATTTCAGTCTGACTTATGTCCTGAACGTCAAGATCAAACCCAAATACAGGATCCACACAATACTCTCAGTCAAACGTAGAGAGATGTACAAGTAGGGGTTATAGTTGGGTTTATAGAGGGAGTCAATGGATTACCATTCGATTCCCTGCCTCCAGGACTCTCCCCGAGTCCCGGCAGAGCTCCCGCCATCGGTGGGGCGACCTCCCACAAGACCTTTGCGCGGGTTATGGGCCACACGCCCGCCTGCCGCCTTCCTCTCAGAACCAAAGGACCAGACTTAGAGTAGGAAGGACAGGATGAGAAGGAGTAAGACACTCAATTAGAAAGATACACTCAGACTTGCGTGAGAGGGCCTTGATTCCTTCAGCGCCTGAGGGCCCCGCAATGGCGGCCACCGCAGTAGCTCGGCCGACTTGTAGTCCAATCGCTGAGTCTAACTCCCCTGACGAACCCTCAACTCACTGCCACAACCTCCTTTGCCCGACCCCCGCTGCCTCCGCAACCTGTAACAACTTTTAGGAGCACTGGTAACACACAGTGGCGGCCTGCAACAGCCGCACATATACACCCAGCAGTCGTCGTAGCCGCGTCGCTCAGAGTACACAGCGTTTACTATCAACGCACAACCAGCCCGCCGCAATGAGTAGCGGTAGGCCCGTGGCATGCAGCAATGCAGAGCAGCACACAGCAGCCAATCACAGTCACCAGTGCCCGCGGATA